AAAAAAAATAGACAGCTTTACTTCTACGCTACATGCCATTCCTCACAAGCTGGCAGAAATAATGATTGCTTTGTACCTTCTCGTCATCCTTCTTTTTCTAAAATGAAACAAGACCTTGGCCACTTTCCTTGCTGTCATAAAATATTACGAGAACTCAATCCAAAAATAATTCTAAAGTTCTACAAATGCATGACCTACTTCCTCAACCATTCAAACCAAACTGCAAAATGGTGCTTTCAATAGAAGACGTAAAATATTATCTAGCAAACAAAAAACCCCCACTTCCCTTCCCACTAAAAGTGGAACAAGTTATCAAGAATGCTTAAACTCGAATTGAATGCTTCACTCTCCTGTCTTGACACAATTGTAAAAAATGAAAATGTGGATTTGTCAGCTATGTATACTTTATACATACTTCGTTCCATTTCACGTGCACGTTTAAGAGACTAAAGCGGAGGAACAACAACGCCATTTTCTCTTCTTTCCAGATACCGTCTTCTGAACTCTTCAATTTGCTCCGGCCCATTTCTCTGTTTCAGAATCTCTTTCAGACGGATCAAACGCTGCACCTTATCGTCTTGCTTTGGTTCTATCCTCTTCTTTAAGGACTGAAAATTACAATTTTGTGAGAAGAGAAAAAATGTGTTAAATCCTCAATCAAAGTTGTCAATCTTCAAGGAATAAAATGAGTGCTCATACCTCTTTCTCTTTCTTTTCCTTGCTACTGCCATTTTCTTCAGATCGATCTGCATGCGTTCTACGTTCTCCTCGATGTTGATCACCGTTCCTATTCCTCTTTTTTCTATCATGCTCATCGTCGTCAGAAGAAGGAGGTGTTGGAGTGAACTGGCGCTCTCTGAGTTTCTCCGACTTCGTCTGGGCCTTGACAACCTTAAAAAACATGACAATTCGAGGACAGTAGCGTAATCTTCAAGAATTTTCTCATCGGAGCACACATGTCTTCTTGAATCTATGCAAAAGATGTGCTGACGATAAGATCTCGGCTTTTCTTCGAGGACTGGAATTTTCGCTCTCTCCCGTCTCTCACTCTCTCGCTCAAGATTTGGCTACAATAGAGGCTGAATGGCAAAATGGGAATTTCGAATGTGTGTAATCAACGCGCCCGCGATACATAGTCACCGGTGAATTAAACTCCTCTGAAATGAGATCCACCACCGATGGAAAACCTAGTCTACCGTTCTTCTGCATAAATAGGGCGATAATCACAGATCATTCAAGATGCAGGCTAAGTATTTTGTAGACCAAATTTTCGATTTCTAATGCCTCGTGTAGCAAAGACACTATAAAGCCGAACAT